CACACACACACACACACACACACACACACACACACACACACAATGTGAAAGTTAAATAATAAATAAAATTGCTGGGCGTGGTGGGACATGCCTTTAATCCCAGCACTTGGGAGACAGAGGCAGGCAGATCCTCTGTGAGTTCAAGGCCAGCCCTGTCTACAGAGCGAGTTCTAGGCAGCTGGAGCTACAGGGAGATCCTGTCTCAAAAAAGACAAAAAAATAAAATTAAAAAAAAATTAATTTAGGGCTGGAGTTAAGAGCACTGGCTATTTTGCAGAGGACCCAAGTTCAGTTCCCAGCACACACATGGTGGCACACAGATGTCTGTACTTCCATTTCCATGGGATATAGGATATACCATGTGTGTGCCTGGCCCCCACAGAAGCCAGAAAAGGGCTGGGATTAAAGGCATGTACCACCACACCCAATTTGTGTGTGTGTGTGTGTGTGTGTGTGTGTGTGTGTGTAAGTTAGAGGACAATTTCAGGGGTAAATTCTCTCCTTCCCCTGGGTTCCCGGTATTGAACTCAGGTCCTTAGGCTTGCCCAGCAAGTGCTTTTACCCACTGAGCCATCTTACTTACCATTTTTTTTTTTTTTTTTTTGAGACAGGGTCTCACTCTTCATCCAGTGTTGACCTGGACCTCACTGTAACTCAGGTTGACCCCATACTTGAAGCAATCCTCCTGCCTCAGCCTCTCAAGTGCTGGGATTACAGGAATTTGCCACCACACATGGCTTTATTTATAATTATAAATTTCTCAAAGTGTTACAAAGGTAATCTAGAGGGTTTCTATATAGCCTTCTATCAGCCTCCCATGTCTTACTCACGCATGGTGTCACAACTAAGCAATGACATGTTTATACAGTGCTATTTAACTATAATAAAGACATTATAATTTTCCTTTTCTCTCTCCTTTTTTTTGAGACAAGGTCTCCCTGTAGCCCCAGCTGGCCTGGAACTCACTATATAGACCAGGCTGGCCTTGAACTCACAGAGACCTGCCTGCCTCTGCCTTCTGAGTGCTGGGACTAACGCTCAACGTAAGGAAAAAGTATCCCTACCGTTGCCTCAGGAGCTGCTGGCACCTGTCCAGTCCTTGCACTGACTTGCAGAAGCAAACCCTCACTCAGGCAGAAGCTTTTACTAGGTCCCTACCAGTGGGTTTTCATTTCTTCAACATCTGCTTTAAAGTATGAATACTCAGGGGCTAGAGAGATGGTTCAGAGGTTAAGAGCACTAGCTGCTCTTGCAGAGGACTTGGGTTCGGTTCCCAGTACCCACATGGTGGCTAACAACTGCCCAAGGGATCAGATACCCTCTTATTCTGACCTCGGAGGTCTGACATTGCATGACATGGGTGCACTTATACACATGCAGACATAACAGTCATACAAATAAACTAGAAATAAAGTTTAAAAATATATAAAGAATGAATCCTCAGCTTATCAGTAGCTAATATAAGACCTCAACTTCAACAATTTTTCATATTCTTCATCATTTTCTTACAAGAGGAACTTTTAAACAGATTTCATATGTATCAATCAGCCCTTTCTCATAGACTGTTTACCAGGCAGTCCTGGAACTTGCAGCCATCCTCCTGCCTCAGCCTCTTGAGTGCTGGGATTACCAGTGTGAGCCACCATGGCCAGCACTAATAGTTTTTCTTTCTTTTTTTATCATTTTTATTTTATGTGTATGTGTGTATTGCCTGCATGTAGGTAAGTGCACCCATGTCGTGCAATGCCTGCAGCGGTCAGAAGAGGCTGTTAGATCCCCTGGGACTGGAGTTATGGACAGTTGTTAGCTGCCACATGGGTGCTGGGATTCAAACCCAGGTCTTCTGCAAGAACAACCAGTGTTCTTAACCACTGAGCCATCCCTCCAGCCCCCAATAGTTTTTTCTTAATGGCAAAAACATGTACAAACATAGGCCTAAAGAGATGGTTCGGTAGTTAAGAGTACTTAGTATTCTTGCAGAGGACCTGAGTTGCAGAGGACCCGAATTTAAGTCTCACCACCCACACTAAGTGGCTCACAACTGTCTGTAACTCCATCTCCAGGGGTCTGACACCTTCTGAACTCTGTGGGTACCAGGCACACATGAGCAGCACTGAAATACATGCAGGCAAAATACTCATACACATAAAATAAAAATAAATAGGGTTGAGCCAGGAGTGGTGGTGCACACCTTTAATCCCATCACTAGGGAGGCAGAGGCAGGCAGACCTCTCTGAGTTCAAGGCCAGCCTGGTCTATATAGTGAGCTCCAGGCCAGCTGGGGCTACAGGAGACCCTGTCTCAAAAAGACCCCCCCCAAATAAATAAATAAATAAATAAATAGGGCTGGAGAGGTGGCTCACTGGTTAACAACACAAACTACAGCTGCAGCTTGCCATGGTGGCACACACCTTTAGTCCCAGCACTCAGGAGGCAGAGGCAGGATTTCTGTGGGACCAGGCCAGCCTGGTCTACATAGGGAGTTGCAGACCAGCTGGGTCTACAGGAAGACCCTGCCTCAAAAAAAAAAAAATTAAATAAATAAAGCACAAAGGATCTTGATGCAGAGCCTTATGGAATGTTTAAGAAAATACAAATCGTGGGGCTAGAGAGATGGCTCAGTGGTTAAGAGCACTGGCTGCTCTTGCAGAGACCTGGGTTTGATTCCCAGACCCCACAAGACAGCTAGCAGCTATTCATAACTCCAGTTCCAGGGGGTCTGATACCCTCTTCTGACCTTCACAGGCACTGCACAACATGGGTACACATATATATGCAGGTAATATATGCATACACATAAAATAATAAAGTTTAAAAAAAAAGCTGGGTGTGGTGGTACACATCTTTAATCCCAGTACTCTGGAGGCAGAGGCAGGCAGATCTCCCTGAGTTTAAGGCCAGCCTGGTCTCCATAGCAACTCCCAGATCAGCTGGCGCTACAGTGAGACCCTGTCTCAAAAAGACAAAAAAAAAAAGAAGATATGGATCTTAATTTCTAATCCCTTTTTTTTTTTTCCTCTCTGTCTGAAAAGTTCAGCTGATTACTTTGTGGTTAGAACACTGACAGAGTTAGCTAGAGCTGTGGTTTTAGAAAAGGATTGTTATAACACTCTTGACATCTAACTGAGGATGGGGACCTCACACCTCCAGCCCCAGACAGCTGTGGTAAGAAAAGAATCCTGCACCTGCAACTTCCTGTCCTTGTTTTCATGAAACTTCTTGTTTTGAGAAATGGAACCTTAATGTAATGCTTATGAATATGTAAACCCTGTAAAGTATATGAACTCCCCTTAGTCGGGGCTCAGAACTGTGAGACAAGACTCTCTAGGCCAAGGGCTACCCTGGAAAAACCTGCTTCCTGAATCTCCTGGTGTCTCATCTGTCCCGCAAAAACCCTAAGCATCGATCAGATGTCTCACAACTTGCAACTCCAGGGGATCCAATATCTCAATGGGCACCTGCACTCATGTGTATACACACACACACACACAAACACACAGAAAAAAAAAACAGCAAAGAAAAATTGTTTTTGCTTTTTTTAAAAATTTTATTTTTATTTTCTGTGTATGAGCATGTTGCCTGTATGTATTTGAGTGCACCTGTGTCGTGCGATGCCACGGAGGTCAGAAGAGGGCTTTGGATTCCCCTGGAACTGGAGTTAAGGATGGTTTATAGCCACCATGTGGGTGCTGGGAATTGAACCTGGGTCCTCTGCAAGAGCAGTCAGTGCTCTTAACCACTGAGCCCAGCCCCAGAATCTCTCCAGCCCCAGAAAAAATGTTTTGTTTTTTTTTTTAAAAGCTGGGTATGGTGGCACAGGCCTATAAGCCCAGTGCTTGGGAGGCAGAAGCAGGAAAGTCAGAAGGCCTAGGCCAGCTGGACCACATGAAACCCTATCCCCCAAATGAAACAGAACAAAAGCTAAAATAGATTAGTAAAAAGAAAAATGCAAACTAGGGGGTCCGAGTGAGAGCTAGCTTAGGGGGAGCCCTCTTTATGCACCTGCCCTTTTGTGTCATCTACCCTTGTGAAGAAACACAAGTCCACACAAAGCATGAGACAGGTACCTTTTCGAACCTGCGTGATGTCTGAGAAAGTCTGGCAACATCTTCCAGGTCCAGGTAACTGACAGTCTTCAGGAGCAGTTTGTCTGAGAGCCGTTCAAGGTAGTCAAAATTACCTTCACACAGATTGAAGACATAGTCTAGTATCCGTGCACCAAATATTAGGGCAACTTGAACTGTAAGTCAAAGAAAGCGCAAACCAGGATATTATCCTGTTCAGTCAAATGGAAACAAGAGTGAGAAATGAGCTTCAGGAAGCTTCTTCCCCTGGGAATGACATCAGCATCTGCCCAGTCATTCCCATACTCATAGCAGCGTGTGACAGTCAGTAACAGCAATTTTTTTTTTTTAAGATACAGTATCACTAGGATGAGAAATAAAAAGGACCTGAGCTAGGTCCTGGCCAACCAGATAGGGAGCACAGGGCTGTGAGCCAGAGGCCAGCTGGCTCCCCCAAAGCCAAAACAGGAACAAAGCAAAGCTCTCCTTTCTCCATCATTGTCAGATGATGCCAGTTTGGCTATTGCCACTGCGCTGTCAATGACTGAAAGACAAAGTTCAGGGGCAGGGAAATGAACTTTATTGCAAGGCTTTACACACAGGCTTCTACACGGGCTACATGTTGAGAAAATGATGAAAGGAACACTTGTGGGCAGAGAATTCAGCACTCCACCAAGCTAAGGCCTGGGTGTGTGGGTGGCTCATGCCTGTAAGCCCAGCACTGAGGAGGCAGAGGCTGGAGGATGGTAAACTTGCTCACTACAGGAAGTTCCAGGTCAATCTCAGCTACACAGCTAGACCATCACAAAGGAAAAAGAAAAACAAACCTCAAGTATGATGGCCTGCTTGTCACTCCAGCATTTGGAATTTGGGGTGGATGTATGAACATCAAGAATTCAAGGCTGGCCTCAGTTATACCTTTAATCCCAGTCTTCAGAAGGCAGAGGCAGGTGGCTCTGAGTTCAAGGCCAGCCTGGTCTATATAGCAAGTTCCAGGCTAGCCAGGGCTACACAGTGAGATCCGGTCTCAAAAACAAAACAAAAATGTATGCAGGAAGACTATCTCAGAGCAACAAGTCATTACTAGTATGTACATGTAGGCTCCCGCTATAGCATGTGATACATGCACCCCTACAGAGTGGAAGACAGAAGTGCCCCATCCACTCCCCACCCTCTACTAATTACCCAACAGTGTCAGAGTATCTCAGCCCAGCATTTGTCCAGCAGAGATGATTCCTGCTAAAAACGCTGGGAGTTTCGCCATCAAGAGCATCCTCAACCTATGCAGCTGGGGTTAGCAATAGAGCCTGCTTGGGAATAGGTCTGACTCGCAAGGGAGACATTTTCACTGTTTAACAAACATCTATCTTCTATTAACCAACATACCCTCACCCAGTCACTCCCCTGCAAAAGGGACCCCTACCATGGTGTCCCAGGTGCTAGAGTGACAGCTAGAGGCTGTCAGCATGCTGCTGGCTCCAAGTCACACATGAGGGCCCCTGTCATAATAAGGAGTGGCCTTCTCTAAGCCCACCAGTATGCATCTTCGGTAATGCTCGATCTCAGGCAGATCCCCATCATTTGGGTCCCAGAGGGGCTGTCCATAAGGGACAGCCATATTTGCCTCCATGTACCCTGCTGGGTTTTCCTGATGGAGGCGACCAGCTTCCTGACGAGCCTTGTGAAGCACTAGTATCTTCTCGCCGGCTGTTAGCAGACTGTCCATCAAGGTCTGCACATAACTCCAGGTTGGGTGATGTGTGGCAAAAATGGAAGCAAACAGTTCCATCATCCCCTGGGGGTCAGCCTTGTATGAAGGGCGGTGATTTTTCAAAAGCTCTAAGTCATGGGCCATGTATTCAACAGGTGGCCCTTGATGATTTCCTTCTGGGTGTTGCCACAGAGGGAACTGATACGCTCTACATGCAGACACCCCCAGACCAAACTGGGAGCTCTGTAGGGTCTGGCAGTAAGGGGAGACTGAGCTAGCCACTGGGCCAGCCTCATACTGAAGATCTAAGTTTGTAGGCAAGGGGGGGTACAAATTGCATTGATGAAGGGGTCCCACTTCCCACAGAGAGGGCATCAAAGCAGACTTCGGTTCAGATGTCATTATGGGGTACAACTCCTGTGGTGAAGGTGGAAACATATTATTTTGATGAGGGGATCTTACTTCCCACACAGAAGGTATCAATACAGGCTGGGGTTCAGCTGTCACTCTGGGGTGCTCCTGTGGTGAGGGAGGACACACACTATTTTGATGAGGGGGTTTTACTTCCCACACAGAAGGTATCAATACAGGCTGGGGTTCAGCTGTCACTCTGGGGTGCTCCTGTGGTGAGGGGGGACACACACTATTTTGATGAGGGGATCTTACTTTAAACACAGAAGGTATCACTACAGGCTGGGGTTCAGCTGTCACTCTGGGGTGCTCCTGTGGGGAGGGGGGACACACACTATTTTGATGAGGGGATCTTACTTTAAACACAGAAGGTATCACTACAGTCTGGGGTTCAGCTGTCACTCTGGGGTGCTCCTGTGGTGAGGGGGGACACACACTATTTTGATAAGGGGATCTTACTTTAAACACAGAAGGTATCACTACAGTCTGGGGTTCAGCTGTCACTCTGGGGTGCTCCTGTGGTGAGGGGGGACACACACTATTTTGATGAGGGGGTTTTACTTCAAACACAGAAGGTATCAATACAGTCTGAGGTTCAGCTGTCACTCTGGGGTGCTCCTGTGGTGAGGGGGGACACACACTATTTTGATGAGGGGGTTTTACTTCAAACACAGAAGGTATCACTACAGTCTGGGGTTCAGCTGTCACTCTGGGGTGCTCCTGTGGTGAGGGGGGACACACACTATTTTGATGAGGGGGTTTTACTTCAAACACAGAAGGTATCACTACAGTCTGGGGTTCAGCTGTCACTCTGGGGTGCTCCTGTGGTGAGGGGGGACACACACTATTTTGATAAGGGGATCTTACTTTAAACACAGAAGGTATCACTACAGTCTGGGGTTCAGCTGTCACTCTGGGGTGCTCCTGTGGTGAGGGGGGACACACACTATTTTGATAAGGGGATCTTACTTCAAACACAGAAGGTATCAATACAGGCTGGGGTTCAGCTGTCACTCTGGGGTGCTCCTGTGGTGAGGGGGGACACACAGTATTTTGATGAGGGGGTTTTACTTCCCACACAGAAGGTATCAATGCAGTCTTGGGGTCAGGCGTCACTAAGCGGGGGTCCTCCCGTGGCGAGGGGTGGTGGGAAGGATTTTGCCCCGAGGGACATCCCAGCAGGCTCACAGCCCGCGAGGCCGCAGGCGGGGACCCCGGGGTGGCCGGCTGCGGCCTCCCTTCCCGCCTCTGCGCCTTAGGCTTGCTCTTCTCCCTTTCCCGCTCCAGCAGCGCCCGGAAGGCGAGTACGTAGGGGAGTTCGTCCGCCCGGCCCGCCTCGCGGCAGAACCGCTCCAGCTGGAGGATGGCGTCGGGATCCCAGGACCCATGCACGGGCCACCTGCCCGCGGGCCCCAGGGCGTAGGACGGCCAGGTCGAGCTGCAGTACAGCACCATCCTCTTCTTCGTCATCGGGGGACAGGAGACGCGCGCCCACCTTTTCAGCACCTTCCCCAGCGGACTGTCCGCAGGAACCGAACTAGAGCTGCCCATTTGGGGAGGAGCGCGGCGGAGAACCAGCACGGACCAGGGATGCGCGGGGGTGGTGGAGAACCGGCACCGACTAGGGATGAGCGCCGGTCGGGGAGAACCAGCACTGACCAGCAATGCGCGGCAGAGAACCGGCGCGGACCAGCGATGCGCGGTGGAGAACCAGCACCGACCAGTGATGCGCGGACTCAGCGCAGAAGCTCCGCGAGCCGGCAGGTCCCAGGTTCCCGCGCAGAACCGCCCAAATCCTGACCCACTCGGCGGTGGGGCCTGTGGACCCGCCGGAACGTCGCTTGAGGTCAAGAGTTCAAGACCAGCATGGACGCGGCTAGACCACGTCTGGAAGAGGAAAAGAAAAAGCCCCGATCAGGTTCCACCCAACGCGACCGAACTACCTAAAAGGGCAGGAAAGCCGGACGAGGGTGCGCGCGCCTTCAGCCCCTGCAGTGTCGTCAAAAGACAAAACAGAGCAGACCCCTAGAGGAAAGGAGGTGCAGGTCCTGGAGCTCACCCGAACTGGGGTCCCTTCTGGAGAGTGCTGGCTGGAGGTGCTGAGTTCCACTCGGAGGGTGCTGGACGGAAGGTGCTGGGTCCCAGTCGAGGGTGATGGGCTGACGGTCCTGAGCCGATAGTGTGAACCGGGAGTGCTGGGTCCCACTCGGAGGGTGCTGAGCGGAGGTTGCTGGGTCGCACTCGGAGGGTACTGAGCAGAGGTTTCTGGGTCCCACTCGGAGGGTGTTCAGTCTCAGTTGAGGGTACTCAGCTGACGGTGCTAAGCGGAGGGTGTCGGGATCCACACGGAGGATGCTAGGTCCACTCGCAAAGTGCTGAGCTGACGGTGCTCGGTCCCAGTCGTGGTGTTGCGTTGACAGTGCGGAGTAAAGGGTCCTCGGTCCCACTTGGAGGGTGCTGGGCGGAGGGTGCTCGGTCCCAGCCGAGGGCGCCGGGCCCCAGCGGAGGGTGCGGAGCGCAGCCGGGGCCCAGGCAGAGCCCAGGTCCTCCTCAACGGGGATGCTCTCGATCTCCCGCGCGCCCCTGGCCCGGCGAACACCGGGGCGGCTGGGTGAGTGTGCAGGGTGTTTGTCTGGCTACCTGCAGCTCAGTAATCGGTGCCGAGAAACAGCACTCGGACAGAGCCAGGAACCAAAAGGCAACACCGCCCTCAGCGGGTCTGGGGACTTTTAAGTGGATCTTTTATGAGGGCCTCATTATCACCGGAACAGGCGGGCGCATCAGCTAAGACGCAGGTGCAGTTCCGGCTGGAGGCTAACTTGAGGACAGTTGGGGAAGTGGTGGGCTGGACCACATCTGCTCGCATTGATTTATCACTAAAATGAGCCAAAGGTGTGGGGCGTGATGGCTTCAGGCCTTTAACCCCTGCAGATCTCTCAGATCAAAGCCAGCCTGGTCTCCATAGAGAGTTCCTGGCCAGGTGGGGCTGCGTGGAGACCCTGTCTCAAAATAAAGTAAAATAAGCAAAGGGTTACTGTCGGTTAGGACAGGTTGGGAACGGACCCAGCTCTGGGAGAACACATGCCTAGAATGCTCAGGGCCACTGAGTTCAGTCTTTACCACAGAAAAAGAAAAGGGGGTGGGGGTGGGGGAGTAGCTCTGTGGTCTGGCAGGATTCTTGGAATTCCTACAACTTAACCAGGCTATTTTACATCTATCTTATCACTACTTCGATAAGCACCTTCTGCTCCAGCCAACAGAAGAGCGAGCTGTTAGAGCTGTTATCAACACCGTTACACCCGTTCTCAAAGAAAAGGAACCTCGAAGCCTAAGAAACAAGGGTGTTTTTTTTTTGTTTGTTTGTTTTTTAATTCTTTTTTCCTATCACACAATTCCTGTCCCCACCCTGAGAGTAGAATCTTTCAGGGTCACCGGTTGTTTAACTCAGTGCTTCTCATCCTCTGATGTCCTTGGTGCCAAACTCCCAGTCTGAACCACCTGCTTCACAGCAGCCCTTCCCAAAACTCTAGCAGTCCTGCTCCAGGGGCAGGATGACCATTCACTGTATTCTTCTCTGTTCTAAGGGCACATTTGCACCACAGTCTGTACTTTGAGAATCTGCAGGTGCGCAGCTAACGAGTTGAGTTATCCTTTCCATGCTACACAGGAGAGAAAGAATGCAGGATTCTGATTGTGTGGACTTGGTGGCAGAAAGCTCTTCCCAACTACAGGGAGAGAGACAGAAGATGGGGAGTGGGGAGGAGCCACCTGACCAGAAGGGTAAGGCAGAACTTTGATTTCCTTGTTCACAGTCTCCATAAAAATGGACTGAGGATGGCAGATCTCACTGGGTACCCAGATAAAGATTCGGTTACTGGGTTTTGCCTATGTCAATGCAAAAGCACAGCTCTCATCTCAAAGGAGACAAGAGATAGTAAATTCTGGAGCCAAATATGAGTGATCAGTGTCCCAGGAACTTGGGTTACCCCAAGTTCCATGTTCCAGCAGTGGAAGCAGTTTCAAGAAGTTTTTATAGTAACAGAACAAAGATGTCATAAATCAAGACCCTTTTCAAATACATTGGTGGAAACATTAAATAGGTGGTTACAGCAAAAGAGAAATCTCCACAATAAGCCTCAGATGTTATCTGATGACACTCAGCCTTTGGGAAGTTGGTGGTCAGCTAAGTTAATACCTTCAAAAAGGATTTTTTAGGGGCTGGAAAGATGGCTCAGCGGTTAAGAACACTGGTTGTTCTTGCAGAAGACCTGGGTTCAAATCCCAACACCCACATGGCAGCTAACTGTCCGTAACTCCAGTCCCAGGGGATCCAACAGCCTCTTCTGACCTCCGTGGGCATTGCACAGCACCAGTGCACTTACCTACATGCAGGCAATACATGCATATACATAAAATAAAAAATAAATATATATATTTTTTTAAAAAGGGTTTTTTAAATCTGTTGTTAGGAATTAGGTGTTTTATTAGTCAGTGAGGGATGAGTACTGACCAATGGGAGTCTACAGTAGCCACACAGGCCAAACAATGGGGGAGCTTAAGTAACTTTGGGTAGGTAACCCAGTCCTGGACGTTGGGTAGAGACTAATAGGTAAATTGGGTCAATCGGGAGAAAGCACCAGGACACAAGAACTCCAGATGGGGTAGTTTATTTGGCAGAGAAAATGCACAGGACAGTTCCCAATTCGGGATGGAGGAGCTGTCAGTTTACAGGCTGTTGGCTGGGGCTATTATAGGGAATTTGGGGATGCAGAAAGTGGGAAAATATTTTTTAAACAAGTTAGGGGAGAGAGCCCAGGGCTTTTCAGGAGAGAACAGCCTCTGTCAAATTGCCCCCTTATGTCAGCTAGGATATGGGTCATGGGATAAGGGGCCTGCTTTTCTTCTAAGATTATCAAAGGGGAAGCAGGTTATACTGAAACAGCTCTTGCAGCAATCAAGTCTTGGGTCATAGGTGTAGGGAGTCTGTTTATCTTGTCTGCAGATGGTCAGGGTGCTCATTAACTCAGTTCCTGTCTTTTCAGAGGGGTTGCAAAACCATGAGGTCCTATTACACTGGGGAGGTGATTACTATAGATCCAGACCCTAACAGAGACCGCCTTCAAAACCTCCATTCTTTCCCCGATAGATATGGGTCTTGGGAGGGCTTGTGAGAGAAGATCCAAAGTCTACACTTCCCCCATAGCACAGCAGAAATTTATGGCTGGGGTCCCAGAAAGGCTTGTTGCAAAGCAAGGATGGATTTATGGTTTGGGGATAATGGTGGTGGTCTCCCTTCATTAGTCACAAGATGTGAAGTCAGAAACAGAGGTGGGCAAGGAGTGGCTATTAAGGAGCTTAACATGGCCCAAGATAAACTGTAAATAGGCTCTGGATCTGTGACATTCAAAACACTTAAGTGCTAATCAGTTGATCAGCCTTGTAGGAAGTTCTGTCTGAGATGCAGGATTTTCCTGAGAACTTGTGTTCACACCAGTGTGATTGGCCCAGGGTTGCTCACAACTGCAGGTCCATGTTTGTGTTTTCCTCCACCTTCCTCCTAATCCTAGGCTGATCTGAAGCACAGTCTCTTTAATTGGCCTTTATCCCCCGACCTCCACCCCATAGCTGGCGGTTAAAAGGGCCACCCACGATGGGCAGGCAGCCCCAGCTATGGGCGAGCAAAGTGATATGGCACTGCAGCTTAAGCCCTGGCTCCATGAAGAGGCACTGGAGGGGCCTCAAAGGTAGCATGTAGCTTTATTCTTTTAATTATATTTGTCCTGAGCTGGATAGCTAGCTCAACAGTTCAGAGAGCTGGCTGCTCTTGCAGAGGACCCAGGTTCATTTCCCAGCACCACATGGCAGCTAACAACTGTCTGTAACCCCAGTTCCAGATCCAACCACCCTCTTCTGTCCTCTGTGGGCACTGCATGACACAGGTGCATTTATATACATGCAGGCGAGACACACATACACTTACAAAAATAAAAATAATTTTTTAAATTATATTTTTCCATTAAAATTCCTTCGTCCTCACCTTCTTCCATCCCTTTCTTTATACAATTCAGAAAATTGAGAGGTGAAGATAAAAATATTATTAAACTGAAGTGGGGGCCTGGATGTGCACACCTTTAATCCCAGCAGTCAGGAGGCAGAGGCAGGTGGATCTCTGTGAGATCAAGGCCAGCCTGGTCTACATAGTGCGTTCCAGGTCAGCTGGGGTTACAGAGAAACCCTTTCTCAAAAAGACCAAAAAAAATTAGTAAATGAATTATTTCTTGAAAATCACTATAACTTTGCTTAGTAGTTCATAAACAAAAGCCCAGTATAGTGGTTACCGAAACAAGTTTGATGTAGAAAATAAAAGATGGCTCAGCAGATCAAGACATTTGCTGCCAAGTCTTACTTCTTGAGTTCAATCTCTGAGACCCACATGATGGAAGGAGAGAGCCAACTTCTGCACATTTTCAGCTAACCACTACACTTAAGCAGTGACTAAATGTGAATTAGTAAATTTTTGAAAACTCATCCTATTGTAGAGACACTTGTACAAACATGTTTGTTGCTGCTCTTTTCACAATAGTTAAGAGATGGACGCAACCTAAGTGCCTCTCAACTGATGAGTGGTTAACAAAAATGTGATATATTTACACAATGGAGTTCTATTCAGCAGTAAAGAAAGATGAAATAATGAAATTTTCAGGTAAATGGATGGATCCAGAAACTGTTTTACTAAATGAAGTAACACAAATTCAGAAAAACAAATGAGGTATGTTATCCCTCATATGTGGATCCTAGCACCAAATCCTTTTAAATTCCAGGTTCTTTTAATAAGATGACGCTATACAGAAGTCTCTTCTGCGTGAAATAACTACCATCATCATGACTTCAGCTGAGCCTGATCCCTAAACATCATCACAATTGGGTTTATTGACAGTTGGGCTCATTCATTAAAGGAGGGCCAAACAGGGTCTTTGAACCCTCACCAGTGTATCCAGCCACTCTTCACAGCCAACTCTACGTAATTTGGCCCTAATCACACATGGTCTTCCTGGATTTAGGGAGGGCTAAAGTATACAGTCTGGGGAAGGCTAGGAAGAGAAGGCATGACCCATGCTGGGTAAAGCTTTCCAGTGTGCATACCCTCAGGTCATACATGCACCTCAACAACCCCTGTTATCTCGGTAAGTAATCTCAGTAAATTCATTGGCTCCCCAGCAAAACTTTAATCAAACATTGGCTTGACACTAGAACCTTAAAAGGGAATAAGCATTGCTTAGTATCCCCAGGAAATGAATTCTCACAACAGATAGAAAATTTATTTTTTAATGCTATTATGTCTCATAATTATTTTTTAAAAAAATAAAATGAGAATGTAAGATGTTAAAAGGATATGGGAATGGAGATATTTTCCAAAATAGAAAAAAATGAGAAAGTCTAAGCAAGTGATAAATGTCTGTGTAGGTTTGTTATGATATATAAAGGATGAGACAAAAGTAATATACACATAATCTTAAAATTTCTAAGGTCATAGTTTAGTCAACTAGTTTAAAGAACAAAATATATATATATATATAATCAAGGTTTATCTGAGAATGTTTTTTTACCCAAGCTTTATCTATATAACACATGGTAATTAAAAGTACCAGACTAGTGGAACTAACCTTATTGGATGTTTAACAACCATACTTTGAGGCCTATACTAATCTGGTCAGAGGGACTTAAAGGACAGATTTTGCCCCTTGCCCTCCAGGGTTGACTAAGTTCCAGAGGGCTATGGAACATCTCTCAAAATGTCCTGTTACTGTGGTGAGACACCTGTCTTCTTGTTCAGGGAGGCCATGGAGACCACAGGAGATGGATTTGAACAAATGTCCAGTCTATAAAGAGGAGGGTCAACTCAGAGGAAACATCTCATCCATGCTTCCAAGTGAAGCCAGACATGGTTGAGCAGGACCTTTGACTTATCTTCACAGAAATGGAACTGGTAAAAGAGCCAGGGGCTCCTCCCAAGCCCATGTAACCCCTGAGGAACAGATCCTCAAATAACCTTAAGTGTAAAAATAAATTTATATATTTGGGCCAACTTTATGGTCTTAAACACCCAAAAAGAAAGTATAACCAAAGAGTAAAGTCATCAGTATATTTATTTAAGAGTATAAGGGATTGGCCGGGTGTGTGGTGCATGCCTTTAATCCCAGCACTCAGGAGGCTGAAGCAGGTGGATCTCTGTGAGTTTGAGGCCAGCCTGGTCTACATAGTGAGTTCCAGGCCAGCTGGGGCTACAAGGAGACCCTGTCTCAAAAAAGACCAAAAAAAAAAAAGTTCGGGGCCGGAGAGATGGCTCAGTGATTAAGAACACTGGTTGTTCTTACAGAAGACCCAGGTTCGAATCCCAGCACCCACATGGCAGCTAACACCTGT